TGCCACTGGGGGCTATCTGAATCTAATTAATATAATATTAAATTTTTGGATAAAAAATCAGAAACTTTTTCTTTCTTATGTGTAATTACACATAATACAAGCTCATTGTATATTAAAATTGCTTTATAAATATGTAGTAGCATAGGAGGAAAGCTGTTAAATATTCTCCAACAATCTACTGAAGCATATGTTAAAACGAGCGTGAAAAGAAATATCACGGTGTTTCCAAGGAAGACTATAAGACCATTTTCTTTGACCCCCCTTTTTTCAATTATTCAGATGCTTTGACTTAAATCTGAAAGTATAAGAAAAGTAGGGTAACTAATTGCCACAGAATTTAATATTCTGTGTTTCCCTGATTGGTGAATATAAACTAACTTGCATTGCATTGCATCAACTTGTTAACATTGTGCATTATTGTACTTTAACATACCGTAGCTACAAGTGAAAGTATTAACTACATGGTATCTTGATTTTGGTATTAGTAACAGGATATGAACGTATAGATGAGTTAAATACACATAACATCATGTTACATATGTTATTAGTTACAAGCTATGAACTTACTGATAGTGTATTAATTATAACACATTAACGTGTTTATGTTAATTGGTTACAACGTAGCAACATGTTAATGTTGTATTAGCCGCATGTAACATGTTGATATTTGATAGACTATGTGCATCTACATGTTTAAAATGTATTAGCTACAAAATACCAACATGTTGACATTGCATTGGCTATGGGGTATTAACATGTATATCTTGCATTAGTTATAGGTTATCAACATGTTGATATTATATTAGTTATATGGCATGACATTATTGATATTGTATAAATTATATGGTACGAACTATCAGTGCTATATTGATTTTACATTATTTATTGGGTAATAACATTTCGATATTATATTACTTACAGGGTATTAACATGTTGATATTGTATTGGTTACACGGTATCAAAATGTTGATATTGTATTAGTTGCACAGTATCAACGTGTTGATATTGTGTTAGTTACATGATAACAACATGTTGATACTGTAATAGTCGCATAGTATCAACGTGTTGATATTGTAATAGTTACACATAACAACATGTTGATATTGTCTCAGCAACACGGCATCAGCGTGTTGAATTTTATAGGCTGTACGAATTTAAATACTTAAATGTGTTAACTATACAACACCAAAGTACTGACATTTAGTTGCATTTCTAACAGGTTATAAAACCTGTTGATATTGTATTATTTGCATGGTATCAATATGTTGATATCATATAACATGATCTTAACATTTTGATATTGTGTATACCAAACTGATACTTTAAGCAACAAATATTTAAGATCATACTCACCGACAAGTAATTATGTCAAATCTTATAAAAAAAAATCATTAAGCTTTTTCTTGGATTCGCATTAAAACTTTTCCAAAAATCCAAGGCAGACCAGGATTAAAGCTAATTTTAAGGTGTGAATATCAGGAAGAAAATTGTATCTACATAGCCGAGATATTACTTGCATACATTACCTGTAATCGATAAATTACACAAAGTAACAAAATAAGAGCTACGAAAGGGTGTAAAATGTTACGAAAACCCTGTAGTGCTAGTCTAATCTATGCATCCATATGCTTCCGGTGGTTCAGCGGTAAGCTTACAACGCTAAAATTCGGAGTTCGATTTCTCTAGTGAGCACATGTAAATAGCACATTGTGTAGCTTTGTTATGAAAGTATAAATATATGTATGTGTATGTGTGGTGTATATATATATATATATATATGTATTTCTCATATACTCTTTATATACTTTCTCTTATTGTCATTTTGTGCCGAGATTAAATAAAACGTCATTGCTTGATTTTGTGGAGTACTTGTGTTCTGGTATAGCCTAGAGTACGTAGATTTTTTTTTTTAACAAATATGCTTTAAGGATTTGTGGCAGCAGGTATTTCGTTGAAACTCGACGTATGGAAAGCTAATAAAATAAAGGTTTGGAGTCGACTTCAATAGTTCCTGATGATAACATAAATCATGTCGATACGTTGTACATTTATAATACATTTTTTTCTTCATTACCCAATCAAGGCGTCTCTAAAGTTTTATTTTCTAAAAAGTGAGATCCTCGTCATCAAATTTAAATTGTTCACAGCGATTACTTGATGTTGTATAAGTCTAAACATTTGTCTTTGTTATCCTACGTATATCCTTCTAGTATGCTCCCTCACTTGTCCACCACCGTAAATCTATCTTACCGTGCAACTATCTCCAAACTTCGTAACACACTGTAAAAATCGTCAAAAAAAGTACCTGATGACGACATAATCTTATCGAAACGTTGAATATTTATAATATAGTTTTCTTCGTTACCCGTTAAAGCCTTCTCCAAACTTATATTTTCTATAAAGTGGATTCCTCGTCATCAAATATGGAAAGCTGGTAAAGGACGTATAGCGACGCCCCCCAGTAGCACAGCAGTATGTCTGCGGACTTACAACGCTAGAATCCGGGTTTCGATACCCGTGGTGGGCAGAGCAAAGATAGCCCATTGTGTAGCTTTGTGCTTAATTACAAACAAAACAGCCCCCCAGTGGCACAGGGTATGTCTGCGGACTTACAACGCTAGAATCCGGGTTTCGATACCCGTGGTGGGAAGAGCACAGATAGCCCATTGTGTAGCTTTGTGCTTAATTACAAACAAAACAGCCCCCCAGTGGCACAGGGT